CTCTCTGTCCATCCTGCTCCAGGTGCCTTGATATCTCCTGTTGCATTTAATGAATGGTTTGTTGATCTTTAACTACAAGCCATTCCTCTGCTAAAAAAAACATTGTGGTGAAGCTTGAGTTTCACTTCATGCTGTCTCAGATTTGGCTCTACTTGATTGTATAAAATCCTACACCTGCCAATATAATAATAGTTTGATACTGATATGAATATGTGGAGCAAGTGAGGCAATGGAATTAGTTTAGGATTAATTTATGCAAGTGGAGAGAGGATGAGGCTGTAGGACTCCTGCTGCAGTCAGATGATGGAAATATGTGCTTCTAACTTGCTCTAACTAACACTCTACCTATTCCTCTCTCCACCAGAACTTTGACTTGGAAGTAAAGGAAGACATTGTTGCCAAAGATGGCGACCAGTCAAAAGATGAGAAATCCCAATCGCCGTGATGATGTTTGCCAAGGGAAGGAGCATTGATAATAGAGTGAAGACTCGGATACACTCTTCTCTACATTGCAGGAAGAAACTCGGCTCTGAACTTTCAACTTTTAACACTCATCTCTACACACTGAGTAAGGAAGCTACTTCATAGCTTGGCTGATTTATAAGTGTGATGCAAATTCAATTCCAGGCCTGCGAAAGAGTTTGTTCTCCCATGTTCTCCTCAACCCTCACTCAAGCTGTACACCTATTTAACAAAAAAAGCTGGGGCAAAAGCGGCAATTGTATAGATTTTGGGCGAGGCCAGAGCAGAGTGAGAACAACGCAATGTCTTGCAGCTTTGATATGTATATGCCATGACATGTCTGTGTCCATTCTCTTTGCTCATGAATAGCAGTGCACAAAAATTGTTCCCCAATCCCAAGGTCTGTTGTTCTAGAGATCTGACGCTGCACTTGAAAACTTGATGTCTGTTGTGTGACCTCTTGGCTTGATCCCTTACCACGGGGCTTTTTAAAAAATATTGTGGAGTTGCTCTCATCAGTGCTGCGTGAAAAAGAAAAACAACTGGTTTGGAATCCTCTGGGCCACTGGATGGGGTAAAGCACCTCTTGGTGTTGTACTGTTCCCAGCCACTAATTCAGGTCACCTTTGCCAAGCCTCTGTACCATTGATGTATCATTGAACTGTGAAAAGGAGAAGAAACTGGAGTTTCTGCTTCTAATTATTACCCAGAGTCTCCTGTTGGAAAGTTTAAGTGTGTTTGTGTGCATCGAAATTTAATGAATATATGATTAACTTGGGCTGTCATCCACTGCACAGAGGTGTAGCTTGCCTGCAAACAGTCCCTGAGCCCTTTGTACAAGGTATTATCGGAAGGCAAAACTCATAGAATCCATACCCAAGTGGGAGTCAGCATCTTCAGAAGGGTGAGAAAAGTTCGAAGTGCAAGTTCTGCACTGTAGCTATGTTTATTTTTTATGCTTGATGGACTTTGTATTGCTCATCTCTATGTACTATGTATCAACTCAGTGTGGAATTAATTAAAAAAAATCCAAATACTCTGTATAGTTTATTGTCTGAAATGAATCCATTTACAAAATGATACTGAGTAGCTTGGCTGAGCTTCGAATCCCTGCTCATATTTCAGCCAGGGCTCAGGGCAACTTTTCACAACCACTCTTTTACCCTGACACAGCAAAGACGATAGTCAGCAGGGACGTGGGTCCACATTATTCCATCTTGCCTTTGGTATTTTCTGTATTTTGCGTTGTCTGCTGCTGAGGAATACAACTTAAGATGGTGATGAGTGAGACTGTGGAGACAATCTGGAGACTGCAAACCATATCCAACAAAGTCAGTACCTACTTAGCATTAGAGAGCAATTTTGAATCCTTTGACAAGCAGGCACATTACAGAACCGAAGCACCAGACCCAGCTGTCTGTTTCAGTGCAAAGGCTCCTTCAGTTGATTTGGCTCTTATGTTAAAATTTGGAAAGAAGGAGGTGGTCTTGTGCATTCCCCAGTTAAGCTAGCCAATAATTTTAATGGCTAGAGAAAGATACATTGAATGGGACTTTTCCATTTTGGCTTTGAGTTGAGACAGTCTTAACCAATTTTTACTGGATGTGCATCTGCAGCATGGAAGTGACCTTGATCTGACGATGAACAAGAGCCTCATTCAGTGAAAGTTACAATGGGATGATGCAGAATTACTTCTTGGAATGGATTGATAAAGAGTGCTGCAGAATGTCACTCTGCGTCTCGTATGGGTATAGGATTTAAAACTACTGTCTGAGTGCTAAGATTCTCAGACCCACCATAGGCCCAGTATATGTTGAAACTGGTGTCAAGCAAGGCTATGTCATCTGACCATGCTTTTCTCTCTCTTCCTCCCTGCAACACTCTGCCACATATCCATGAAACTTCCCATTTTTGTGGAGCTTCTATACAAGACAAGTAGGAAATCTTTCATCCTGCATTGCTTCCAGTCCAAAACCACGATCATCCCAAACTCGGTTGTCAAGCTGCAGTACAAAGGTGGTGATGGCATGTGCACTAACTGAGGCATTGCCAACACATTCACGAGAGAATGTGCCTTAGTCGACATGTCTGGAGGTCACTGGTCCATGGAGCAACACTGTCCCCCAACTATCAAGATCCATGGCAAGCCACTGACAATGTGGATCAATTCTCATTCCTTCGGAGCCTCATTTCAGTAAGTCTGGATGTTCACAAATGATGAAATTCAACAGCACCTCCAGTATGCTTGTGCAGCTTTGGGCCTTCTAAAAAACAGTATTTGATGATAAAGACCTGAAACTGATGACAAGTTCATGGTCTATGGCGCAGTGGTTCTACCTGGCTTTCTGTATGAATTGAGGATAAGGACTATGTACAGTGACATCTCAAATCCCTTGAGAAGTATCACCAATGTTATCTATGAACAATACTTCCAATCCAATAGGCACTCCAATCTCAATGTTGTTGTAAGCCAATATCCCCACTGATTACAGTCAGTCAGCTGCAATGGACCAGTCACCACCTCCACATGCCTGACATAAGACTTCTGAAATGAACTCTACTCCAAGCTGTCATGGAAGCCAATTATCAGGACTGAGAAAGTGCTTCAAGAGCCTCTTCAAAGTTCTGTGAAGATATCTGCACCATCTTGCCTAAGACCACCGAATCTTGAAGAAGCATCTTCCACAGGCCCATATGGAGGCTAAGCATAAACACTGGAAGTATTGTAAAAATCCCAATCTTCCATGCACCTACCTCTTCAAGCCCTGCCTGCAGCAGGGTGTGTGGATCCAGCATTAGTTACCTCAGGACACATGGCTCTGGAGGGTAAAAAAATCATTCTTTGTCTTGAGTGACTCCCCAAGAAGATGAATATTTTGTAGATGTTGATGGAGCTTTTCTGTGTTTTTTATTTTTGTTGTTTTTTTGTTCCCTCATAACCATTTGACTTGGGTACAGATTGCAGGCACTTTCCCCAGGTATAACCATATATTAATGTTCATCTGTAAATTACTTTTCTTGACTTTTTAATATGGCTGTAAAATAATTTCAGGCTGATGATGCATCTTGTGCGTGGCAATTCTGCTGAGTCAATGCAACTCTGGAATGGGCAGTTTTCCAGAGAAATAAATTCCTGTGTAAAATCTGCAGCTGTTGAGGAAGTATTCTGCACTTATTGCTGAAAATCTCTGCACAGGAAAACCATAAATTAGCCTGAACTTCAATCCTTCTGTTTCATTCAGAAAATTTAAAGAACTGGATCATTACACCATCTAAGATCCTTCAGAGGTCTCAGCATATCTATTCATAACTGACTTTATTTAATCATTTGCACTTACACTTTACATACCAATATTGAACCTTATAGATTAAGTTCATTTTCAAAAAGGAATCTGTAGTTGTAATATCGTTGAGGTTTAGTTAGGAACATAAGAAATAGAAGCAAATGTAGACCACTTGAACCTGATCTCCAGCTCAAACAATTCATGGCTGAACCTATATTTTAATTCCACCTTCCTGCACTATTCCCAAATCCTCTGATTCCCTTCAGTTTTGCAGTCTATAGATTACAGTCTTGAATACATAATCAATTGCATGTTCACAGTCCTCTGAGTGAAGAAATTTCTCTTCATTTCAGTTCTAAACAGCTGACTCCTTTTCCTTGAGACTACAGCCCCAGGGGTTAACAGTGCTGCCTCACAGCTCCAGAGATCTGGGGCTGATTCCAGCCTCAGGCGACTGTCTGTGTGGAGTTTGCACATTCTCCCCATGTCTGCATCGGTTTTCACCAGATGCTCTGGTTTCCTCCCACTGTCCAAAGATGTACAGGTTAGGTGGATGGGCCATGCTAAATTGCTCCATAGTGTGCAGGGATGTGCAGGCTAGATGGTTAACCATGGTAAATACGGGGTTACAGGGATGGGGGAAGGGGTTGGTCTGGGTGTGATCCTCTTTGGAGGGTCACTGCAGACCTAATGGGCCAAATAGCCTCTTTCTGCACTGAAAGGATTCTATGATTCTAGCTCTAACTAGGAGAAGTAGCTTCTCCGCAGATAACCTATTACATTTCTTCTTACGTTTCAATGAACTCTCCTCTCATTTCTAAATGCCAGAGAATATTAACGTGTTCTACTCAATCTCTCATTCCAGGAATCAATCTAACAAGCCTTTGTTTTACTGCCTTTAAGGCCAGCATGTCCTCCTCGATGTAAAGAGACCAAAGTTGTACAAAATATTTCAGGTGCAGTCTCACCAAAACTTAGTAACAACAATTCCTTTCTCCAAGCCCTTTGATGAAAATGCCAACATTTCATTTTCCTAATTTCGTGTTGTTCATGTTAACTTTGTGTTTTGTGTACGAGGACATCCAGAACTTGCTCAGTACTAACATTTGCAAATCTCTCCCCTTTTTAAAAAAAAGTATTTTGTTCCCAAAATTCTTTTTACCAAAGTTTGTAATTTCAAACCTCCCCATACTAAACTTTTAATTGTATCTTTGATGAGCTTTGGGGAGTAGTTGGAGTTTGGTTTCCCTGTACTATGTGGATCTGTTGCCCTCCAATACTTCAATATTCTTCATCTGTGAGGCTGAATGATGAGCACAAGCAGTTTGTTCCATTGTTAGGAGCATTACTGTTAATTCCACATCAGTCCTCAGCTGATGCCCTACTTTGACTTATGGATATTAGACAGTAGTCTGGAGCTGACTGATTTTACACATCTCCAAGGACACTGCAGATCTACACCCAGCTGGAATCAGGCAATGGGGCATAGGCCATAAATGGAACCTTGGGTCTTGCTGACCTATATGACCCACTGCCTCAGTTAGAATGAACTTACTCGATGGGCCAGCAACTGAAGCAAAACTTTGCTGTCCAATAACTGAGGTCCCATTCATTTGGCATCCACAAACTTACCCGAACCAAGTGTACCACTAAGACAGATGCTGCAAGTCATCTTTAACAATGTGCAAGTTCCAAGGTGAGTGTTTGAACAGGTGGAACACATTTTATTGTGTTTACCCAAGCATGAGAAGGAATACCCTGAGAAGGAATTTCTTCACCCAGAGGGTTGTTAATCTATGGAATTCCTTGCCCAGTGAAGTAGTTGACGCTACTTCAGTAAATGTTTTTAAAAAAAGGTAGATTTTTTTTGAACAATAAAGGAATTGAGGGATACGGTGAGAACGCGGGTAAGTGGATCTGAGTCCACGAAAGGATCAGCCATGATCTTATTGAATGGCGGAGCAGGCTCGAAGGGCCAGACGGCCTACTCCTGCTCCTAGTTCTTATATTCTTATGTTCTTATGTTATGTTATCACATGTGGATGTGAGGATTGTGCATGTATGCTAAGATGTGGATACAGTTTGTCTGCACATGCTGGTCCCTGACCATTGCAGTAATTTCTTATCTAAAGACATCAGTGTCACTTTAGGAATCTCAATCTCTGGAATAAAAAAAGCCATTGAGGATAAAGTTGTTGCCTTTTTCAAATGGCATTCCTCTAGAACTGAAATCTGAACACCTGTAATAACTGTTCTCCTGTCCTATCTGCCAGATAATTCAAATTCTGAACAAATGTGCTCTTCCTTCTTTTTTATTCACTCATGGAATGCAGACCATTACTGGCTGATTCTGACCATTCTGATATTTGCTTTAAATCCACTTTTCACCACTGTCCAAGTATTCCCTCTGCTGTTCATTTGCATGTGATATTGTGTTTCAGTCTTTTACCCAGTGGTGCAAATAGGAGTTTTCTAGGACAGTGTTAGTTTATCAGCTCATTAAACCAGACTAGCACTGAAAAATGATCAAATATGAGTTTTACAATAGGATTGAATCGGAAACACTATCGCCACCATTAATCCAGCAATTCAAATAAAGTAGATAACAAAACAGAACAGTTGGTGCAGTCCAAAGATCTGGCCTTTAAATAATAAAAATAACAATTATCAGTAATTGCAATTCACTGTAATATCTAAATAAATATTTTAATATGCAACCCCAATTAATGAGTTCTCATTGTGTGGATTGTCGAACTG